ACTGTATACAATAAAAATACTCGTTGACATCTAGCCATGCAGAACATTTTTAAATGATTCGCCCGAGTTTTTGAGCTTTGAGATTCTGCTGCCACACCAATGCAATGGATGAGAATAGAATGATGTTTGTTGTTGCTCACAACATTGAAAAACCCCATTTAAAAGTCACGACTTTTATTTTCAGAGTGGCCGGCCTTGTTACTCTGTGAAGCTTGTGTGTCACGTTTTCAAAGAAAATACTTCCTGTCAAAGCAACAGCCCCTATGACACCTCCTGACAGTGCGCCCATTTGATTTGACAGATTAACAAGGACACTTTTCAGTTAGACACATTGTTGTGTAAGTGCTTATTTAATGCAGTGTTCAGCACACATTAAGGGTGAATACTTTTCTTGTCGTTACCATATCCCAAAAGAAGGCCAAAATCATGTGTTAGTCCACATTTCTGGACATTGTCGGCGAAATAGTTTTTTCTGTATGCTCTCTTTGGAATATGGGTAACATATTCAAAGTTTCATATTAATATAAAGTTTAAGTGATTACAAAATGTAGCAAATGTTACCCAAAAAATGGTAAATACAGAATGTTTCCAGATTAATACAGATTTGTTTGTATTACTAAGAGTTCTCTTGAGCAGGACACAGTATGTTGGACTGATGCCCATGTTTATTAGAAATTCAGTTCAACAATGCAAAAATGATTATGGGTTTTTTACATTTTATAAAAATAATGCAGCTCTGCCTCACAGACACAAATCTGTCTTTTGATACATCAAAACAATTGTTTGGTTTTGATATTTGATTGGGGTTTGTTGACGATATTGCGGGACTTGTTGCAAACCAAACATTAAACCACTCAATATCAAAGCTACATTTCCAGTTCATGAGGACTATTTTCTCTCGTCCAAAGGTGTGATCGGGTTTGTCTCAGCTTGTTTGGTTGTATAGTTCCTTTGTGTGAAATAGAGAGACATTCTTCCTGTAATGAGGGCTTTCAATTCACCAATAGCCTTACACAATTTCAAGACCGCAAGAAATATGCCGGGCGCTTGCGCAGCCTAGGGCCTGTCGAGTTGGCAGTACATTCTGTACATGAAGAAATGACTGCCTCTAAAGGCCAGCACACACACACACCTCTCCTGAACAGCCTCTTACATCCTACCCTTTAGCACATTTCTGACTCTGGAGCCCGATGCGCACCAGAACAGACAGCTACAAATCACTTCGCCGTCCATGAGTTATCTCTGTCAATTACTGACGATAAATGGCTTTGGCAGTGTGAAGGCCAGGTGCATCAATCCGCTGTGTCTCACGTTGTCCTAGCTCCTCCACTCTATTGATTCTACTTCCAATGCTTCTATGATCTAGTTTTGATGGCCCCTGCCCACAAAATCCAACTGAAGCGCTGATGTCAGATGGAAGGGTGGAGATGTAACCCAAACTCCCCCCGTGGGACATTTTCACATTCCTGATATCAGATCTTCCTCCCTCCCAGCTGAGACTTAATATAGATCCACTGGAGTCATCCCGCTACAACTACTCTGTGCCGGCACCAGATTTCAATCAAGGTTTGATTGCAATGTAATATCTTTTGTGGGTGGAAGAACTCCCACTTTAATAACATTATCTGACCTTAAAGTGCTTTCAATGCACATCTTCTTAAAAAAACAGCTGGCATATAACCGCATACATTTCTCCACGTCTTTCTCTGTCTCCATAGCTCTTTTGTCAGCCTTTTTTTCTCCCTAGCTGAGCTAAATGTGCTTATTCCACCCATCTCACCTCCACAAAATGGCTTTCAGACGTCTATATCTGTCCAAAGCCTGTGGCTTAGCAGAATGACCATTCAGAGAGCGTGGGATGGGGTCTTTTGTGAGGGGCTTGTCCCCTGTACAGCAGCTGTCTTCTAAGGGGCTGTCTGTGATGGCGGTCTGCAGTATCGCCCACCACCGCTTTGACTGATCCTTTCTCCTTTCACTCTGCCCGGGGGGCTCTGCATGTGTTGGAGGCATTGATCGGCCCTGAATTGGATTGTGGCGAGCCTGATTACTGATGTCGGTGTGTGGCGGGTCACGTGGGACTGCTGGCGTGCCTCGTGCCAAGCCGGGGCCAGGAGGAGGGTTTGCTCGCTGGAATTACATTTATCAGTCTTAGTTACACGGAGCGTGAACACACCATGCCCACACATACTGTAATGCTTAAGTGACGCACAAACAAACTGCCAACATAATCTCATGTTACTCCTATAGCGGCAAAGCGGTATGCATTCCTGATTGGCATTAAATAGAGAGTGTGGGAGAGTGTTAGACTATAAAAGGGCATTAGCACATTGCACCAGTAAATTACCACTCTCCCTACTGTAATGCCATATTTAAGGTGTTTTGAGAGCGACTGAGAATCTTCGGACACTGCTTTGTATTTCTTGCCTCGTGATGCTACTGAATCAAAGCTCCTGTAGCGCAAGGTTACACTATATGACTTACTGTGTGTGTGTTTTGACAATGGAGAGTGTGTGTGTGAGTTTGAAAGTGATTTTCCGCGCATCATTTGTTTACGCCTGGAATAGTGGCCATCATCTTTTCCACTAAGAGAACAATAGCCATTTTTCCCCTTTGCTCGGGAGACAATGAAGTGCCTTCCCGCCTCGCGAGCGACAGGCCAATAAAAAACGTAATTGGATCTGTCAATCAAACATTGCTGCAGCGCGGGGGTGGGCTGGTTGGCAGTTGGGTGGCGGTGGCGGAAGGGTAGCCGGACAACAGGAATAGTGCAGAAGAAGAAGAAGAAAAGAAGAGAGGACCATTGTGAAGCATTAACACTCAGTTCCCCCTCTGCACACTGCCCGGAGGCACTCTGCAACAGTTACAGAGCTGTACAATTGTTGTGTTTTGCTGTTTGGTTGTACCAAGGCCAGGGGGGTGACAATCCATCTTTGTTTGTAGGTATTAGTGGGTCAGTGATGTGGCTTTGATGAGACTACACAGGAGAGCTGGGGCTGCCACAGCCTCTGAAGGTCACCGTGGATGGACCAGAGCTGATGTGTCTGTCTGGGCTTTGTTTGCGCTCAGGCCATCAGACACAGTGTTTTTTCGTACCACAGAAAGGTCCTGTCATTAGTCAGGGGGATGCTTTCGTAGTATTTTTCACGGTCAACATATTCTTGTGTGTGCTTACCTCAGCCTTTAGGCGCATGGATTATTTGAATTTGCCCGTTCACACTTTTATAGTATGCATTTGCGTGTTGCTCTAAACTTTAATGATGACTGCTTAAATTAGGAGCCCATTTACAGCCTCTCTGACTGAGACGTTAAGTGCGATTTCAGATATTCGGTATGTCGGGCTCCCACTCTCAACCCTACTTCGGCTTTTAGGAGATGGATTTCTCGTGTCTTTGGCGACATTCTTTTTCCATTATTAGTGGAGCAGGAGATTGTTACAGAGGAGAGACCCTCTGATGTTCCTTGCATGAGAACAATATCTCTTTTTATAAATAGAAAAAGGGTATTTCACTCAACAAGTGAGGCGTTAAATATTGTGTCTTGGACCGCCTCGACGATTAAAAGAACCTGGAAACTGCACAGTCACCACAGATTCATGCCTACAAAGTCATTTTACTGCAAGTTCCTTCTTCCTTTAAAAACTCCAAGAAAGCATCTGCTGTTTGCACTGTGCCTTAAATTAAGACAAGTATATTCTCCCGCTCCTCTCGACACTTGCCGAGAAACAAAAACAGGATCCTAATTTAGAGAAATAAAGAGACGTCTGCTGTAACAAACTTGATTTAAAAGTTCATATTTGTCCCTTATAGATCTCAAAGGTATAGTCCTCTGTTATGAAAACAGCAAAAGTAAGTAAGGCTGAACTAACTCGGAAAAATGTTGAAGCCTGCGGTCATCCGGGCACCAATAAAATGACACGCTTCATTTATTAGTTAACACACTGCAGCTTGGTATAATAATCCGGTGGTATTATAGTAATTCTTTACTCTCCTATTGTATTAATAGCCTCTTACATTTAATAGAGATCACCAGGTTTATGCATTGCTTCATTTAAGTTATAGCAATCATGCAACGCTTCATTGCCTTCCAGGAATTTAAGCTCAACATTATCATGGCCTGGATTGTAGCAGTTAGCCATGCAATGCCAGAGTCTCAGCTGACCACTTAACAATATGTCTACCCCCTGTGCAAGTCTTCTTCATTTTGGTTTTGTTATGAGAAATGGTCCCTCTACTCCTGCCTTCTAAAGTAGGTAATTACATAGAGAGATTCCCTGTGGGGGATTAAAACAAATGACACAGAAAACACAGCCCTACTCCTTTGCCACTCACTCAACTCTGCTCTAGAAACCTTTTGCTTAACATGCCCATGAATACGCAAGCAGCCACAATAAAACACACTGGCAGATCATGAAAACTAGTGGGGTCGAGGGGAGAGGAGTCAGGAAATGATGGGGAGGAATCACGATTTATGGACACGGAAAAACTGGCTTAACATTACATGTAGGAGCTAAACAAAACATATGGTTTTCATACCGTTTGTAAGGACCGCAGCAGAAAAAGGCATCTGTCCTGCCAGTTTTGCAGTGACAGGCTGCAGGGAGCATTACTCATCATTACAATCTCTGCTGGCAGCCTATTTTCATCACATTACAGTGGTATAATGAAGCATAGCGCTGGCGTCCTCAGGTTCTCTGAGTGGTTCGCCATTAGCACCAGCCGAGGGCATTCATCCAAGTAGCTTTATTGAACTTTTTAGTTAGTTTATTGTATAATGAATGAGTTACTGCACAACAATTGGTTGTATCTCGGCGCAGCACCAGTTCAAATTCTCTAATTTGTCTAGCTTGGAGACAAATGTGACTTATTGAGAAACATAGCTTTCTGCGAGTAATGCCAGTTACTAGTTCAGAAAAAGTACTGTATTCAAATATGTGGATTAATCCAATGCTGGAATCAGATCCCTAACTTATTCTGTGTTTTTTTTCTTTGTGTCTTTTCCAGGATCAAGGCAAAATAAGTGTGACATTTAACATTGGGACGGTGGACATCAGTGTTAAGGAGACAACCACCGACATCGACGACGGAAAATACCATTTGGTCCGATTCACCAGGAACGGGGGTAACGCCACCTTGCAGGTGGACAACTGGCCCATCAATGAACACTTTCCAACAGGTACTGCCTCTTTTTTAAATATTTGTCTGATAGATTCGTCTGAGTTTTCACCACTGGACATCACCTTTTTGCTTTAGCAAAGGGTTCCAACAAGAACAAATCTGGAATGGTACTTAGGGAACCGGACTTCCACCAAGTTGCTGCCCTGATCCCAGGATGGGCCCAATTCCCAGAAATTGGGAAGGCAAATCATATAAATGATAGTTCTAAATGTGGATTCAACACAAAAAAAGAATTGTTGATCTTTCATTGTTCAACAAATTTTTCCAAATGCTCACACAAGTTATTTGTGTATCCGCCTTTTAATTCAGAGTTGCTCCCAAATTCAATGGATTCTTCTGTGGCCAATTATTAACCCCACCACCAATTTTTGTGACTGAAACAAAGGTACAAAGTAGGGATGCTCCGATCGCCAATTTTGGGGCCGATCGCCGGAATCGGTATCGGCCGATCCGATCGAGTGGGCGGGGCCTAAATGGAAGATTTAAACATCACTTTAAATCTTCAATTTAAAGTGATGTTTAAAACTCAGTTAATGGGGCTCATTCACTGGAGCTTCCACAAACAACAATCAACTTAATTATTACATTCAAATGATGTACATTATTCAAGTTTACATTCACTTTGAATTTGGTCATGAAGGATGGGTCATGACCGAAAGAACGAGATCGCGGATACAAGCGGCCGAGATGGGTTTTCTCCGCAGGGTGGCTGGTAATAAATAATAATTCCTTACATTTATTATAGCGCTTTTCCAGATGCTCAAAGCGCTTTACAAATACACATTACACATATCATACATGCAATGGTCATGTACTGTGGACAATACCCACAGGAGCAAGTTCAGGTGAAGTGTCTTGCCCAAGGACACTGGTGTCTCCCTTAGGGATAAGGTGAGAAGTTCGGTCATCAGGGAGGGACTCGGAGTTGAGCCGCTCCTCCTTCGCGTCGAAAGGAGCCAGTTGAGGTGGTTCGGGCACCTAGTTAGGATGCCACCTGGGCGCCTCCCTAGGGAGGTGTTCCAGGCACGTCCAGCTGGGAAGAGACCAAGGGGTAGACCTAGGACCAGGTGGAGGGATTATATCTCTTCGCTGGCCTGGGAGTGCCTTGGGATCCCCCAGTCAGAGCTGGTTGATGTCGCCAGGGAAAAGAAAGTTTGGGGCTCTCTGCTGGAACTGCTACCCCCGCGACCCGACCACGGATAAGCGGGAGAAGATGGATGGACATTCACTTTGGATAATAACACGGGAGAAATGAGCGGAAGCTCTCTCTTTTCCTCTCTCCCTCTCTCTCTCCCCCTCTCTCTCTCTCCTGACAGCCCGTCAGTATCTCATGCAGCTCACTGATCCAGTAATGAGTGACCCGACAGTGAAGAATAAATATATTTATAACTAGTTTAGCTTGTTCCGGAGGTAGATACAATAGCTAAGTGTGTTAGGTCTAACTCTTGTGTGTTTCGCTCCGCTCACCGGTCCGTCACAGCGGGCGAAGCTGCAGGATTTCTACTTCACACACGTTGCATACCACTATTTTACTGTCTTTTTCGGACACCTTAAAATAATGCCAGACCGGTGAAGCCATTTTGGCGAACTTGTTTTGCCGCACACACAGAGAAAAGTGTTATGTATTTTACGTCATGCGATCGGCTCTCGCGATCGGCATGTTTAGAGAGCACCGATCGATCGGTAGAGAGTGAATATCGGCCGATCTCGATCGGTAACCGATCGATCGGAGCATCCCTAGTAAAAAGATTCTCCCTCTCCCATTATTCTTGGTAAAACATGTCAAGAGACTAAGTGTCCTCCATGCCTCCAAAAACGTCTCCACTTGCAAGCGCCTCACACCTGACTCTACAGGAGAGGAGCACACCGGGCTACCGTCTTTTGTCTCAGAAGAGGCATTAACTGTGCAACAGCTGGCTGCTTTATTTGGGGAGAGGTATTGAAAGGCACCAAGACACATTTGGTCTGTGGGTAAGCAAGGAGAGGATAGAGGCAGAAACCAAGGGTGGCCGGTTGGCCAGATGAAGCCGCTGCCTGCCTATATCTCTCATTCCCAGGTCAGCAAAAGCAGCACAGCAGCAGAATACAAATGGGGTCATCAAACAGTGCTCGCTCAGGCACTTCCTTCATTTGGAACAGAGATGTGCCGCTCAGCTAGCGAGGTGTGAGAGAGAGGAGGAACGAAGGGGGGGGAAATCCCCTCTCCTGCTTCTACTTAACAGTCCATTAAATTGAGTTGGCTCTCCTGGTCTTTGATATCGGTGTCGACATTGCCAGCCAGCTTAGGAGAGGCCACAGTTGTTTCCTTGTTCCCTATTACCCACTCTTCAATTTCACTCAGTCAAACGGAGCAGACGCACAGGGAAGCAACACGGGCACAAAGTGGCAGTTGAGGCGAAGAGAAGTTGGGATGACAAAAGATAATATGAAACTTCATTGATCTCTGAGGTAAGATTGTACCGCGGCAGCAAGACATAATTGGACGGAAACAGATGTAGGATAATGTTGAAGATTGAATAGTTACATTACTAGATGTGGAGCTAATGTGACCAGAACTGTGAATCTCTAGCTAAGACTTTTGAAAACAGAACAAAAATGCTGATGCTCCCCCGATGGTAAGGAGCAAATAAATAGGAGTTGATCCCTTTCACTTCTCAGCCCTATGTCTCAGCAGCCCTACAGCGCGCTCCTAGTTGCGTCATCATCGAGGACAGGGCAGCCTCCTCTCCTGCCGTGACCTGGCACGCTGTTTTGCTCTGGTTCAATGCCAGCGCAGGTGATGCTAATCTCTTCTGTCTCTGGCTTTCTTTTGCCATCGGCTGTCTTCCGCTTTTATTTTTTTCCGTGGACCAAATAAAGTAGGAAGGGTTTCGTAACTGGATTTCAGCCGCACTAATACTGGGGAATACTGAGAAACTCCAAAACATCTGAGACACGACATGTTCACGAGTGACATCTCCATCCCGTAGGCATTTGCGGAGGTTGACGTTTTTTTTTTTCAACCATTCTCCATATTTAAAGACCAGTACATTCAGCTGAGCACCTATCATTGTCATAGTTATGTGAAAATGCTTTCTCCATCAGCGTTCTATCAATATGTCCGTCAATGTTTATGATCGAAAGATAGCGTCCATTAAAAAATCACTGCTAGATGTCCGTTGGGTTTGTGTCTCAGTTTAACAGAAAGATTTATTTGAGCTTTGTATTCATTCCTAGTTATTCTGTCGAGGTTCTGTTCCCTTTTTCTGTCCGCCTGCCATCGAGTTGAGGTCGGGGGATTGAATGCGTGGTAATTTATTTTTCTATCTTCTGCACAGGTAATTTGCAGGACACTCAGTGATAGCAATTCAACGATGATTGATTTTTGTTGCCCGCCCTCTCTGCCTTGTAAAGGCGTTGTCATCTCATGAGTAATAATTACATGTTAGGGGTGCAGACTCATCGACTGCTTTCGCACACTCCTATGCTCAACTTGAAGAGAGCAGCCCGCCAAGACGGCTCTCAGGTCGTTCAATAAACTGTTACCGGATCCGGGAATGCCCTTTCTCCCTGGTGAGGAATAGGTGAGAACAAAGGTGTCGGTGGATTGCTTGAAAGCCGCTTGCAAAATAGCCTTGGGCGTGTAAATTGGACATCTTAACAGCAGTGTTTACAAAGTTACACCACCAAAGTACAAAGGCGTTACTATCTGCTTTAAATGGCAGCAGGAGGTTTTTACAACGTGACCTAGATTAATGCTGGGTCTAATTTAAACACATGTCCTTCTTTCTTGGGATAGACCTTAATTATATGATAAAACACTGTTATTGGATTATAGTTACTATCATAGTGGAATTTGGCGATATTGCTAAAGATAGGGAAATAGGCACGAGCAGCAAGACGAGCATGTTCTCTTTGAATAAAAGATTAACCAATAAATAAATACATTTTAATATGCAATTCATTTTTATTAAACTGGACAGCATTATATTTAGAGGTAGTTCTGATATGTTGCCCACCCTTATGCAAACATAACTGTAATATTAGGATATCATTTCAATACAGCACATCCATCACAACACCACCACCACAACTTCAGTAATAAACAGAGTTCTCCTCTTTTGACGATTTGAAGTTTGAAGGTAGAATGTAAAATGTATTTTTTGCAAACTGATATTATATCTAAACACAATTTCCAGGAAGCCCATGATTATAGTGATTATCACAAACAACAATAACAATATAATGATTGGGCATTTGAATGTGAGGGCTATTGAAGCATAACACACAGAATAACTTTTACACAACAATTCCTGATCCCAAACAGCTGCATTTCCATCAGCAGCTTACGTGAGTTTAGTGTTAGTGTGTGGGCGTTGAGTGTATGTGTGTGTAGACTACCTTATTGTATCCCCCCCCCTTCAAACAATGCTTTGATGACAATGAGAATTGTCATCAATTCCTTTTTATTCCGCGTTTCCCCTCCTTTTTCCATTCGTCGTTCCTCTCTCCTACAATCGTGATTTTACTTTTGTGACAACCCACATTACTGCAGGGGCTTGCCTTTGTTTAGTGAGAGGGTTCCAATTTCCTTATATAACTCTCCGAATCCTCGCACTCTTTGATTTTGGATTACATGATCTTTTTCATGAGTTTGTTTCTTTGAATGAGGGAATTATTAGACCGAGCCAGGCGGAAATCGTGCATCACGTTTTGCCGGAGCTGGCTGCGGTCCAGGCGTTGTCTCAGATGAATGACCATTGGCCTAACTACTCTCTGCTTGTGCCTGGGGTGATAGCGCGTGTGTGTGTGTGTGTATATGTGTGTGTGTGTGTGTGTGTGTGTTCCATCATTTCTGGTCACAGGAGGGTTGGCCTTGTGTTCATTTACAAACACACAAAGACCTTTATCAAGACAGCAATGCACACAATGCTCCTGCAACCTGAAACAGGCACAATGAGTAGAACCGTTTTTCGAGATATCTGCCAATCTTTGTCTTGAAATTCAGACAAAACAATTCCTCGGGAACGAGATAAATCCCCACGCGTCCCCGGGGCCAAACATGATTAGCCCTATCTGAGACACAATCTCTGTCGCTCTCAGAACCCCGACTAAGCTGAGCGTGGAAGCCGCCAGTTTAATTCATCCTTTCAACACCATAGATTTCAGAGCGACCTGATAAATGATGAATTTACTCCGTGGCTTTGTCTGACGTTGGAGAGAGAAGGGAAAGAGGATAGAGGGAAAAGCAAAGCAGGAAGAAAAAAAAACAGTGGAACGTGGGTGAATAGAGAAGAAATGCAGACAGTGAAAGAACACAGAGACATTTAATGGAGTAGATGACTGGAATAAGTTGACAGAAGGTAGAAAGAGCTGACGTGTAGACAGATAGATGGGTAGAGAAGAAGAGAAAGGGAGAAAAAAGTAGATTAATGATACCAGAAAATTCTGACTCGAGCTGAAGAGGTGTGAGTCAGCCGAGAAGAGCAAAGAAGGATGATTGTAATGCAGAGAGACGGAGGGGAAGAGAATAAAGGATAGTGAATAGAAAAACAGAATGAGTGACTAAAGAAGAAACACATGGATTTGGGAATGAGGTGGGCAGTGCAGGATACACATAACAAGGAAACAGCTATGGGCCGGAACCGGGTATGATGCCTTTTTGGACAAGGCAGCAGTTTATCAAATGTACTCATCATCCCCAAATTGAGAAAATGCCAGGAGCCTGTCACAGCAGCCATTTTCGCAGTTTTGATGCGCTCTCAGGCCTGGCACAGCGATGGAACCCCGGTGAGATTAGTCTGGCAAGTAAACTGAATAGAACGAAGCGAACGACCAGCAGATGACTGTCGGCGTGCCAGTGTTTGTGTTGACTGAACGGCTGCCACCAAAGAGGAAACATTTACACTTTGTTTGGGCTGGGAGGAAACAAGGGGCGGATGCATCCATTAGGGCTAAAAGAGACACAGAAACAGCAACAAATATGAAATATTAACAGTGTTAATAAGGTTTGCATCAGCCAATCAGAAGTGTGAGAATAATGCTAAATATGCATGGGATGCACATGTGGAAATGTAAACAAATAATACCAAAATGTTTTTGACACTGCATAGGAATTCTGTCCTACTACGTTAGCTGCTACTGATAATAATAATGATAATAATGATAATGATAATAATTGTAGTAATATTGCAACTACCAATAACAATACATATTTATTTTACAATATGTTTATGCATTTTAGTACGAGTAAAAAAAACAAAGTATTGATGCACAAGAGGGAGAACTCAAAACACAGAACACAAGCTCAGATTTAGAAATATAACACAAAGGTTACAATAATTATGTGTAGTAAGAATAATGAAGAAAATCCCTGCTACATGATGTCAGAGACACCAGGCTCAATATAATTTAAGTAGGGCTCCCAAACTGGTCGGATTAAGAATCAAAGTCATATAGTAGGTTTTTGAATGGCACTCAATCAAACAGCACTCGTTGCAAGCCTTTAACAGTTGGCACTTTGGTATAAATACACTTTGAAATGTTTTCCTCACAGCATGATTAAGAATACAGTACGATCTTCCACTGATTTCTAGGATAATAATATCAGTTAAGGTGGCCCAGGATCCAGTTCCAAACACAATACGTTCTACTTGTTAATTTATCACATTGGACAGATCCCCTTTGGTATTATTTATTAAGAATTGAATGGCTAAAATATTGTGTATACTAAGTGTTTATAATAAGAAAACAGAAATTAGGTTGTCTGTGCTGGAGATTTCTAACCGAACAAGTTATCAAAGTTGAATCAAAGACTCAATCATTATTGCATAGTTGAAAGGTATATATGTGCAACCTAAAAATAGATTTTTAGATGACACCGAAATATGAGAAATAATCAAACACATAACGTTGCTTAATTTCACTGTCCTCTTTGTAATGAAAGCTTCATATACAAATAGTGAAATATGTGTCCACTCTGCTTTGAAACAAATATAGATTTTTTAATAAACAATACTGCTTTTATTGGTAAGGTCATCCATTCTGGAGTCACCTTTAGAAATTGAATATCAAATTGACAAACTAGAGAGATTTTTCTCATTAGTTGGACAATTAGCTTGTGGTGTATTCATTACAGGGGGGGCTGTCACCTCATTAATCACCCAGAACAATGTAAGAGCTATACCTGAGACCAAGCCATTAGCAGTGCAGGCCAAGCTTACCCTGCATTCTCTCAGTTTCAGATGTGATTTCACTCCAGCTAAGTGAACATATTAGCAACGCTTTGTAGACGCTGCACATCCTCCCCTCTGTGTTATTCCCGCCCCAATCCATCCCTCCACCTACTTCCACGAAAGTCCTCACCTTTCCGTCAGTCCTCTGGTTTCTCATGCAGCCATCATACCTCCCTATGTGGTCCTCGTCCAATGGAGAGTGTATTTGGCTGCCACCGGAAACCTCTCTGAGATCAAAGGAATAGGGCTGGAGCCCTGCGAGTAGCTGATTAACCTGCTGGCACGCTGCAGATACGGTCCTTTAGCTCCTGGAGATCCCTCACAGCCATATCCACACACATCCTGCCCAGCTGGCTTTAACCTGAGAACTTGGCCAGTTTGTTTTTTTTCTTCTCCGACAGGTAGAAAGGACCGATAGAATAGAGGAGTGAGGAGAGGAAACTGATACAAGCATATGGGGTACCTAACTACTTTGCCACATAAGTGGCTTAATGAACAGTTTAATGTAACTGTGGTGTGCTCCCTCCTTATGTGCAATTTTATTCAGCAGGTGGGAACAGTTGGTATTCAGATATGCAGGTAATAACTGAACCACGAAAGAACAAAAAGAAGACTGTGTAGAACAAAGACAGGCATGATATCTTACCCAGAAAACACACTTGGTCAGGTGGCTTGAAATTGGCAGCCTGGTCTCACTCCAAGGGCGTCAAATACAGACACCCCCTTAAGTGTGTATGAGACGCACTGGGCTTTTGGCTATTCCAATGTAACGGGCAAACAAAAAAAGATCAAAAGTCTTCTGAGGGTTGAAGGGAGTTGTGTTGGATTGGTCTAACAAACACAGGGGATCGGCCTTTGTGTCCCGTGGTTTAGCCTAAACCATGTTTTTTTTTTTTTAACCTAATAAGATAGATCTGTTGTCTACCCTAACATTAACAATGCAAAGGGTGCTTTAATATTGACTTGAATATGGAAGGACTTTTGTTTTTACCGTGCCTTTTGAGTCTTCCGGCTCTGAGGGGTTCTGACACCTCATGCCAACATTTAATAGTTCACACACAGTCATACATCAATGGCAGAGCGGCTTCACAAGCTGCCAAAATGCTCATCCTCTAGTCCAATGCTCATTCACACATACTCTCCACCAATGGCTGTGCCTTTGGGAGCAATTTGGGGTTCAGCATCTTGCCCAAGGACTGGATAAACCAGAGATCGAAACCACCGATCATTGGACAACCCACTGTACCTCCTGAGCCTCAGCCAAGCCATTATAGTAGAGGCTTCTGCCCAAGAGTGAAAATAGGGATGCACTCATGTTGCCTTGAGTATGTGTGTGTATAATGTAGTCAGTAGATAAATCACCTGAGAGACTCCAAGCAGCATTTCCAGAAAGCCTTTTCTCACAATTGTAAAGCCTTGCCCTTTCATTTGTGCTATAAATCATGGAATACTGATGCCCTTTTTTCCTCCAAATATCTTCCCATCTGGTTACTGAGTGACATCATGGTGTCTTTTGTCATACCCCAACATATTTGAAGTTGAATGTCCCAATCGTATTGTCGGTGTCTTTTAGGGAATGCCTCGGTGACAAAATATTGCAACCTGGAGAATACACAATGGAACATGCCAGAAAAAATACTAAGCACACACTAAGCATTCAATGCAAAAGGTGGCCTATTAGCCGCAGCTGGGGTTCAGGTCTTTTTTCTCAAAAAGACCTCCCACCATAATGATATCATTTGTATGCATTGTCCTCCTCGGATCTGTGTCGCTGTGGGACTTCTCTCCCCATAGGTCTGCAGTACTTCATATTACCACTTCCTCCTCCATCGTTGCCCCCTTACAAACCTGCTACACAGGCTTTCCTTTCAAATGCGCTTCCAACCCAATCATTTCTTGGCCCTTGACATATTAAAGCAGGTGGTGTCCAGTGGGAGAACAAGTGCCTATTAATTATCTCCAATTTGCTCCACAGAAAGGCAGTTAATGCATGTTCTAGCTTTTTAACCATGTGATGCCTATTTATTATGCAATATAATGATTGTATTATGTAGACTGGTTGTATTTCCTGTGTTTTTACCTTTTCTTGCAGGTTGTTTAAAAAGTGTGTCTTTTCTATGAGTGCTATGAAAATGTGCTTTTAGTCTATGGATACTTTGTTAAATATTGGTGTGGAGTGTGCTGTATAAATATACATTTAAAACATATAAACTAAAGCTACTTGGAAAAAAAACTCATCATAAAGCTTTTATAAATTCTTCTAAACAAAGATAAACATCGTTATAAACCACTGTATAAATGTTTGATGTCTGTTGCTGTTGCCGACTGTTTCAAGCTGTTTGTTAAACTCTCAAACTTTAAAGGCAACAGCGACATTGAGCGCTATCAAATGGCAAATAAGAAAATCCCGTTCAAATATACCCGGCCAGTAGAAGATTGGCTTCAGGAGAAAGGTAAATCTCTATCGACCTTCTAGAATGTTTTTATTTTTATTTTTCTGTCATTTCATCGGCTTGTTCCCTTTCAACCTCTGAGAATGAAAAACCACCCCTTTTAAAGAATCAAGTTCAAAAAAAGAGTTCTCTCCTTTGGTTTTTATTTTTAATTTCTTCCCCCTTTTTGTCATTGTCATCCTTTAAAATTGTGTTGAATCATGGTGTCCAGTTAAAGGGACTGAAGAGCTTTTAAAACCATGCAAAGATAAGTACTGTGTGCAAAATTGTCTAAAGGGACAGCATGCAACAGTAGGCTTGGCTCAAATCCTCTGCAATGTTTGAGAACAAACTAATCAGTGGGCATACCCCCCTGAAAACCTTCCAAACAGCAGGTGTTTCTCCCTGCTGTAATGTATCTGATTGTAGTTAGACACATCGCACACGATCAAATCCTCACTTGTTTGGTGATGGAGAGCTAATTGGCGCCTTTTTGACAGCAAAGCCTGCCAACGTGCCCTGATAGAGTTTTCAATCACTGAAATCAACCTCGTTTTTCTTTAAAACATTTGCGAGGATTAAAAGAAATCTACTCCTGCCTCTCTTACTCCACATAATATCATCATAAACTGCTTTTTAAAGTCCATTGCACATAAAGATCTTAACCTGATTTTAAAGTCCCTTTAACAACTGCTAAAACTCAGGTGTGAAAACCCCATTACTGCTGCCTGCATGACTCCACACGTGCTATTTCATTTTTCGCTTCTGTGACATGTACGTCCTCTCCCTGTCATTCCTTGTGTATTGTAATTGTGCAAATAAGACAGGCATGCAGTGCTTTCTGTATGTAAATTATACAAATGAGATTTTCAATTATGATTCTAGTATTGCAAAAGTTTGGTACATTTTCATTTCATAATTAATGCATGAGCACTGTGTTTTGACAAGGATATTTAGACGTCTCCTAATGAAATTCCCCATGACATGCAGTGAGTGTGTATTGCTCATACTTTATCATAATATGCCAAACCCTGTATCCATATTTATTAATCATCCTACCGCATGAGTCCACTGTTTTGTCCAGAGAATATTAAGTGTGCCTGTGGAACTTGTTCTAGCTCATTTTTCCAAAAGTAAATGTCTACACCTGCATGTGTTACGATAAAGCTGCTGTAGCTGAATGGTTTGTGTTGTTTCCAGCATTAGCTATTTCAGGGGGCTTTTTCCTGTGAAAAGAAAAAGCCTTCCTATTGTAGATAACAGTGCATATAGCTGCAGGCTTTTACAGTGAACAGAACAGGTGGGGTTCTTGAGAACTGATACTGGAGTGTTTTCAGCATGTTTCATCACTTTTAACCATTTTACCTCCATCCTCACTCGTTTAATCAAGCAGTAAATCCATAGTGGTAACAGACAGTCTTTTTCCGTTAATGCTTTTTACCCGTGATAAAAAAGTAGTTCCTCCGCTTTTAGATCACAAGCGTATAAATACTATCGTCCCTCCCTCCGCGCCAGGCCGGCAGCTGACAATCTTCAACACCCAGGCCACGATCTCCATCGGCGGAAACGACCGGAAGCGACCCTACCAGGGTCAGCTCTCCGGCCTCTATTACAACGGCCTCAAAGTCCTCAACATGGCCGCCGAGGGCCACGGCAACGTCAAGGTGAACGGCAGTGTGCGGCTGGTGGGCGATGTGGCGGTGACCTGGGGCGCACGCACCACCACCTCGGTGCCGCCGGAGATGTCCACCACCTTTATTGAGACCACCACCACGCTCTCCACTACGACCACGCGCAAACAGCGTTCACCACCCACCATTCAGGTAAGGCAGGCAACATGTGTGCTTCAGTATGTATGTGTGCGGTGAGTGACGTTAGTTCCAATTCAAAGATGGTTCTGTGTGTGTTCCAATCAGGACAGCCAATTGTGGCCAAAAGATTTCACGACAAGGATATAATCATAATATCTAAAGAGAATTTGGAGGAATAATTATAAAATTGTCAAAATCCGATTTTTACTGAAGGAGTATTGTAGCCAAAACAGAATTCACGATAAAGATATTATCATATTATTATTTATTTTTTTAAATAATTAATTTGCAAAAGAAGAACACTCCAAAAACAAGTATATTGAGGTAGAGGGAAACCACAAATGAAGTTGGGAATTATTTAAAAGTTGCTTCTATATTTATACAATATTGAATATGTTCGAAATAATTAATATTATTAAACTCATATCTCATTTTGTAAATATCGTCAAATGATTCTTACTGAGCTACAGTAATGTTTTTGTTATGTAATCCATATAGTAAGTGCCTTTTCCGGCCCAGTTTGTAGAACGATTTGAGTCAACAATGCAAATAATATCCTGAACTTATCTTAAAGGAATAGTTCAATATTTTGGGGGATACGCTTATTAACTTCCTTATCCAGAGTTGGATGAGGAAATTGATACCCCTGTATATATGTCTGATGAATATGAATCCAAGAGCCAACAGCTGGTTATCTTAGATTAGCACAAAGACTGGAAACAGGGAAAACAGCTGACTGTCTGAAGATAACTGATAAGATAGCTGTCTTTATGCTAAGCTAAACTAACCGGCTGCTGGCTCCAGCTTCATGTTAACTGTATACTGTATCAACTGTTGTATCTTATTTTGGACAGGAAAGGAAATGATTGCTTTTCCAAAAATGTCAAACTCCTTCCATAAACCCATTGGTTAGTGTCCAAAGTGTTGGTAAAGTTGCGTTTAATTGCATTGCTCCTTGAGAAACTTGAGTGTGAGCTGAATATTTTGTCCCCTAATTATCAGCTTTGAAAATGTGATAAAGTGACATGCCAAAAATTCAAAAGCCCTCTCCTCTATTTGATGTGTTTTTGTGACTTTTCTGTGAGTGGGTGGATTGGAGTGGATTTTTTCCCCTTTTTGATCAGCCTAGGTCAGAATACTGTATTTCTCAATCTAAGAGGATTGCATGCTGCTGCTCGTCGAGGTGTGCAAAGCCGGCCTCTCTCTCTGTCTTCTTTTCTCCGTCCATCTGTATCTGTCATTCACCCACTCCGGCCTAACAGAGGCCTTTCTCCAATACCTCCTGACTCGAAGCCAATGAATGTCACCGCCGTGCCAAGAAAGTAATCACGCCGAGCAGTCCTTTGACACCCAGAGGACAAATTGAACCATTCGTTGTTCATATTAAAGCAATAACTCTCCCTCAGGGGGGGTGAGACAGGGTTGTTGGTGGACGACAGACAGGAGCCGCTGTTATCAGCCTCTTCATCTCAACAACAGATTGCCCGGCGTGCAGTGATGGCCCTTGACACTTGTATGTCTCTATCAGAGTGCAACCGTGTGGGAGTCAGAGCCAGAGCTCTTGGAAAGCCACTAAATACCAAGAAAGGCCCAGTGTCAAGCTCTCATAAGTGCGGTTTTGAAGTTCCGGAGCAAAAGCAGAGCAATCCATATTATTTTCCGTCTAGGCGTAGCATGAGTAATGCGCGATGATGATGACTGAACTAAGATACATTACACCAGCATCTGTCTCCGGCACCATCAACAAGGTCACATCGGATCAAAGAATAACGTGGCATCGCTGGGAAAATGGCATTTTGTGTCATAGGCTATTAATATCAAAGGAAGTCGATAAGTTGCCTGCAGTATGTGAAAGATCTTTTATACACAGCATTCTCCTTTTCAAGGTGAAAAGATTAAGCTATACCACTTTTGTCAATACCCAAGATGCGGCTGTTTGATGCCAAATTATCTTTGGTAACTACTTTTTGCCCTCCCTAACTTTTCCCTTTACTTCCGAGAGCGTGCTCCGTTCATTCTTCTTCCACAACCTTCCATAGCACTTTGATTCACACCGCTGTGTCGCGGAATTTCATTTGCCAAGGCCTTTCATTTGCCAAGGCCTTTCATTTTACTGTTCCCAAGTCGGCTGTCAAACACGGTGGTGTGAGAGGTAAAGAGAGGACCTGTACGAGTTTGGCAGATGTCTCCACCCCTCAGGGTAGTATAGGGCCGTAGAGGGAGTGGAGCTATCATTAGTGATGTACCGCAGTGCTGGAAGAGAGCAATAGGAATCTGACACCGAGCCGGAGTCCAGTGTGTGTGCAGCTGTTTTAGTTGAGGTTGTGTGTAGACTTTAAATGTGTGTGTTTTGATATCTTCACATCTATTATTGGTCCACTTCACCAGCACTAGCTGTTTCTTTTTCCGAGGTGAGAAGTGACGAATCCCCTGACATCTCAGGATCAACAGAATGAGAGACGGGTGGGAAGTGGAGAGAACCAATCTCACGCTTAATTAATGATGGCTCCGCCGGGACCACCGACAGACACCATTCATTTACTCTCTCTTGCTCTCTGTCTGTCAGCGTGTTACTTGGACACTGTGTGACCTCAACGGGGTCTAAAGACTAGTGTGGACAGGAAAGAGACCGTTGTGGTTTAGAAGATTTAACTTCAGCTGTTTTAAGTATGTTTTACAACCTTAAGATACAGTCATTCACTAAATATGTAATGCTTTACTTACTTTAATGGAACAGCAGTTCATATGCGATTTTCCCATATTTGTCTTTCCATTTATATATTTTTAAAGGTGCAAGAAGACAAATGAGGAAACTTGTTTGCTGTAAACATCTTCTTGCAACACTGAACTTCTGAATAAATTGTAAAAATGAAATAAAAATGATTCCCTTTCCTAGTGTTGCCAAGTTTATGAAACATTCCCTAATTGAATGTTTAAACGCACAAAGAGAAAACATGGAACTTGTAAACCTTGAAGTTAGACGTAAGTATTTCAATTAACAAGAAACACACAAAACTAAATTCAAAAAGAAGGTTTATATGCAGCATAAGATTCCCAATTCTGATAATAATTCTACAAGTTCTATCTTCAGAATTCCACTTATAGACTAAATACATTGTAATACAATCTAATGCTTGGCCATAATCAGTTATTTTTAAGTCTTATTTTGTATTGAGAGCGTTGGGTAATAAGCAATATCTTCTTGCATCACAACAACCTTTGGATAGATGTGGTAAATCGGTAAAATAATATCCGTTCCTTGTGTTGTGGAGCTTTGAAACACTCGCCAATTGTATGTTTGCACGCACAAGAGGACAACATAGCTCCTGTAAACCGCAACAATCTGTTTCTATAAAATGTAGTCCAATGATGTCTGAGCGTTAGGCTAGAAATCCATTTTTTTCGCCATGTCATACCTCTTTGTGGATATGATACAGGGCCTTAGACCTGGCAATACATATGTCAACAGACTGAAGAAGAGCGCCCACGCCCGCCCACTGTCCCGCTCCCGAAGCCTGCCTAACTTCTAAAGACTCAACCCGAGTCATCGTTCTGTGTTTCATCCGTTTAACATTCGGAACATCTCTTTGATCATGTGCCTCAGTGGAGGGTGACTAATGCTAACCATGTTAGCTTTACCTCCCTGCCATAGACTCTTAACATGACGCTGTGTAAAGCCGTGGTGACACAGAAATGCTAACATAATGCGAAGATAATGCTGCGTGTGACATATGCACATTAAACAGCTGCTCTTTAGAATGAACAGAGAGGTTCCCTGTGAGAAATCCTGACACTCAAACAGCCCTTTATTTTTTCTCCATCCCATCGCCATAAATATTAATCAGTTCTTTATTGACTTGGCAAGACAAGTAAATAAGGTTGAGAAAGAGCGATACAACAGTCAATACATATAAACAAGAATAATGGAATAAATATTGTGCTCTTACAAACCTTTTACTTTAAGCTTTGTTTTAGCCTCAAACTGCTTTTAATATGTCAACGTGTTCTCCCCAAAGGAATAAACCGTTTGACATGAGCTCTGTTGGCTGTCAGAGCTCAGCGTTCATACAGTAAGTGGTTGAAGTTTAAATGGCATGTCACTTATTCTGGAAGTTAAACAATACTGATTCAAATGATACTTGTAGCTGATATAATGAAAAGAACCAGTATGAACGACGGGAGATGATTTCCCATTAAAGGAAAACCACACCAATTGTACACATCAAAGTGTTGAGATGCACTACTATGTATGTGAAAAAAGGGGTACAAAGCCTTTTGAAGCTCAACAGGGAGCTGCGCCATATTGTATACATTACTGAATAAGGATATACGTTGGAAAAAAAGGAAAAGAAAGAAAGTTTTGGACACTCCTTATATTTGCTTTAAGCTATTGGCGCAATGCTACATTAGCTGCTACTAGTATACCAGACTCCCCGACTGAACTGTTTTCTATCATGGTGCATTGTGGGTGATGTAGGCTCCAGCTTTCTCAGAGGAGAAGACTGAGTGAAATAAATAAGGCGTTATCTCTGGTTCTGGAAAAACTGAAAAATGTTTTAGGCATTCTGTATATTGTTTGTACAAGAGAGAGGAAGGAACACTTTCGTGTTGCATAGCTATGTGTTATCTTCTTTTCTTTTTTTGCTTCGTGCAAAAGGTTGACCTAGTTTGGAACCACAATTAAAACAATTTTAAGTTTTGAGGCAACATTTGAAACTGGGTTTGGAATAAACCTGTGTATTAATTTCCCATTCAAGATAAAAGGGAAACTAGAAGTGCATTCGGTTAACAAAAGTGAAAAATCTGCCTGGGAATAGTCTATCCAAAAGGTAATGGGTTCTTCCTTGGCTAGATCCCTCCATCAAGTTTCATGAAAATGTGGCCAAATTGTTCATATAATTGATACTTTTTTCTCCAACAATGCTGCTCTATACCTGTGAGTAAGAGTGTTGATGTTGTCAGAAGTTCCTCACTGCAAATTCAATCGTCAATCCCATATTGATCTTCTGTTG